TGGAATTGCGGTAATCGGTCTGATCTAGAAAATAGTTAAATGATTTTATCTTCTATTCATTTCTATACCAGTTTACATATTCCTTTGTCATGTGATTGTTTCCATTCTTTTTGCTTTCAGGTTGGCATGACCACAAGTATCCTTCCACACAATCTTGGAGAGCTTGTTGATGCAATGTCTTCCTTAATTCATAACCCAGAAGTAACAGTAAAAATGAATTCAGTTATTTCACATTGCTATATTGAGATTTCTCAGTCATTTTGAGATCTGTTTTTTCACTTTGCCATTTTGAAAGTACTTTTATTCTGTTGGAGGTTCCTTTTTTGTTTTCTCTTTGACTATTTCCATGCCATCGTTTGCAATCTAGCAGTCTCTTTTTTTCCCCAAAAAAGAAAAGCAGATGCATTTTTGCATTATTAATAAAGATCCAACTGGGAGCGTTATTTAGTATTGTAACAGTGGTCTTCATTTTTAACCCAAAACTTGTAATAACTCAACGTGAAGAAGGCGATTTCTCCTACATTAACACATACTCCCTCCGTCCCACTGTGTTTATCCACTTACCTTTTGGCACACCATCCAATGCACTTCTTTAATTTATTTTATCTTGTAATTTGTATATTAAAAAATTATACAAATTATATATTAATAATCTATATGTTAAGACTAATCAAACAAGATCACACATGACTATTTTTAGGCTTACACATTAAGAGAATTTGAAAAGTCAAAGTGCTTAGATGAACAGTTCCAAAAGTCAAATGTGGACAAACACAATGGGACGGAGGTAGTATGTGTTACTTCTTCATCATGCTTTCTGCTTATTACGGGATTCAGATTCTTACAATTAGCTAAAATCAGTTGGTGCTTTTTTTATATTGTGAGCATAATCAATTGCTTATTTTGCTCACCAGAATTTGAATCCTTGTAGTAAACAACATCCTCAGTCCCACTTTGTTTGTTTCATTGTAGTTTACATACCACAAAAACAACATTACCCCATTGGTCAATGTCTCCCGCTCATGGCTAGGTGAAGGGGGGGTTGGATGTATGCAGCGTGACCCCTAATTTTAGGTACATAATCACTTTTGAATTCTTTAGGCACGTAGATAAACAGATGTAATATTTTGTTAAAATTAATGTTAATGACCATTTATGCTTTTTACTGATGGGTAAAGCCTCTTTTGCCAATACCCACTGTCTTTTGTAAGTTTTATTTTCTAATTATGATACCCATATTAAGTCAGATAACCATATTATCTTTTCGTTGCTCACGATGCTAATAAATGGTTTCATTTTCAGGAACATACAAAGGCAATGCTGCCACCAGACATAGATCAAAGTAGAGTATGTCATCTATATTACATGTTAATTAAAAGTTTCTTACTTCTGAGTTCTGAGTTGGTCACGTCTGATATGATGATGAAAAGGTTGATTTTGTCCCGAATTTTGACAACTCACAAACAGAGCCATCTCTACTCCCTGCTAGAATCCCCAATCTGCTCTAAATGGTGCCTCCGGAGTTGCGGTAATCGGTCTGATCTAGAAAATAGTTAAATGATTTTATCTGCTATTCATTTCTATACCAGTTCACATATCCCTTTGTAATGCGATTGTTTCCATTCTTTATGCTTTCAGGTTGGCATGGCCACAAATATCCTTCCACACAATCTTGGAGAGCTTGTTGATGTAATGTCTTCCTTAATATATAACCCAGAAGTAACGGTAAAAAAGAATTCAGTTATTTCACATTGCTATGTTAAGATTACTTCTCAGTCATTTTGAAATCTGTTATTTCACTTTGCCATTTTGAAAGTACTTTTATTCTGTTGGAGGTTCCTTTTTTATTTTTCTCTTTGACTATTTCCATGCCATCATTTGCAATCTAGCACACTCTTTTTTTCCCGCAAAAAAAGAAATGCAGATGCATTTTTGCATTAATCCAGATCCAACTGGGAGCGTTATCTAGTATTGTAACAGTGGTCTTGATTTTTATCCCAAAACATGTAATAACTCAACCGGAAGAAGGCGATTTCTCCTACATTAACACATATGTGTTACTTCTTCATCTTGCTTTCTGCTTATTCCAGGATTCAGATTCTTACAATTAGCTAAAATCAGTTGGTGCTTTTTTTATATACTGAGTATAATCAATTGCTTATTTTGCTCACCAAAATTTAAATCCTAGTAGTAAACAACTTCCTCAGTCCCACTTTGTTTGTTTCATTGCAGTTTACATACCACAAAAACAACAACATTACCCCAGTGGTCAAAGTCTCCCGCTCATCACTGGGTGGGGGGGGGGTTGGATGTACGCAGCCTGACCCCTAATTTTAGGTACATAATAACTTTTGGATCATTGAGGCAGGTAGATAAACACATCTACAAAAATATATAGGAGGGTATTTTAGGTACATAATAGTTTTGGATCCTTGAGGCAGGTAGATAAACATAACCATAAAAATTTCTACATTGTCTCAAATCCCTGTATCAGCAAAACACACGAGAGCTATGTGTCCTATCTTACAATAGTGCTGACAAACAACATTTAGACTGGGTTGTGCAATATTTCTCCTAGGTTGTTTTTGACCCTCAAATGTCCTGGACTGCACAGGACATTTCTTTTGCCTATACCCATTATCTTTTGTAAGTTTTATTTATGATTCTGATACCCATATTAAATCAGATAACAATATTATCTTTTCGTTGCTCACGATGCTGATAAATGGTTTCATTTGCAGGAACATACAAAGGCAATGCTGCCACCACACATAGATCAAAATACAGTTGGTCAAGTATATTACATGTTAATTATAAGTTTCTTACTTCTGAGTTCTGAGTTAGTCACGTCTGATATGATGATTAACAGGTTGATTTTGTCCCGAATTTTGACAACTCACAAACATAGCCATCTCTACTCCCTGCTAGAATCCCGAATCTGCTTCTGGATGGTGCCTCTGGAATTGCGGTAATCGGTATGATCTAGAAAATAGTTAAATGATTTGATCTTCTATTCATTTCTATACCAGTTCACATATCCCTTTGTCATGCGATTGTTTCCATTCTTTATGCTTTCACGTTGGCATGGCCACAAGTATCCCTCCACACAATCTTGATGCAATGTATTCCTTAATTCATAACCCAGAAGTAACGGTAAAAATGAATTCGGTTATTTCACATTGCTATGTTGAGATTACTTCTCAGTTATTTTGAGATCTGTTATTTCACTTTGCCATTTTGAAAGTACTTTTATTCTGTTGGAGGTTCCTTTTTTGTTTTTCTCTTTGACTATTTTCATGCCATCATTTGCAATCTAGCAGTCTCTTTTTTCCCCAAAAAAAAGAAAAGCAGATGCATTTTTGCATTATCCAGATCCAACTGGGAGCATTATCTAGTATTCTAACAGTAGTCTGTATTTTTATCCCAAAACATGTAATAACTCAACCTGAAGAAGGCGATTTCTTCTACAGTAACACATATGTGTTACCTCTTCATCATGCTTTCTGCTTATTCCGGGATTCAGATTCTTACAATTTGCTTAAATCAGTTGGTGCTTTTATTTATATACTGAGTATAAACAATTGCTTATTTTGCTCACCAGAATTTGAATCCTAGTAGTAAACAACTTCCTCAGTCCCACTTTGTTTGTTTCATTGCAGTTTACGTACAACAAAAACAACAACATTACCCCAGTGGTTATAGTCTCACGCTCATGGCTGGGTGGGTGGAGGGTTGGATGTTCGCAGCTTGACCCCTAATTTTAGGTACATAATAACTTTTGGATCATTGAGGCAGGTAGATAAACACATCTACAAAAATATATAGGAGGGTATTTTAGGTACATAATAGTTTTGGATCCTTGAGGCAGGTAGATAAACATAACCATAAAAATTTCTACATTGTCTCAAATCCCTGTATCAGCAAAACACACGAGAGCTATGTGTCCTATCTTACAATAGTGCTGACAAACAACATTTAGACTGGGTTGTGCAATATTTCTCCTAGGTTGTTTTTGACCCTCAAATGTCCTGGACTGCACAGGATCTCTTTTTTGTTTTCTAATGCCATTCTTTCTAAAATTGGTTAACTTATTTTTAGATGATCTATGTTCCATATGCTCTATGATCTCAATTTTCCCAACATTATTTTGCTTATTAACTTCAAGTTTTGTCTCTTTATTTTCACATGATTTCTAGGGGAACTAAACTTGCAAAAGTGCTTTTAAATTCTATTTCTAATTTTAAAGATTTGCAAGATGTTTATATAGAACTTTGGCTTTTTGAGTCAGCCTTCATGGTTGTGTTAGGGTCCGTTTGGTGAATTTTGGAGGAATAATATGATATGGGGTTCTGAAATCTGAAAAAAATATGGACTTTGAAATCTGAAATGAAAGTGTGTGGAGAAATAAAAAAGGAACTGAAGTATACAGTTCCATTTTCAGGAACTGTTGCATGGGAACTGAGGCTTGAATTTCATTTTTCCGGCCAACTTATGTAATATTTTCAATAATTAATTCTTTTGTCGTGTAGTTTTAAAAGTACATTAAGGATATTTTAATTGCTGGCTAAATCCATTGCTTAATTTCATCTGGGGAAGATATATTGTTCAATGTTTTCAAGTATGGGATGTTGAAACACGGGCATGTCACGTTTTCGTACTAAAGCCGTGTTTGTTTTTGTGACAGGTTTTGATAATGCCAAACCGCCGTGATCAAGTCAAACTTTGAATATACAAGGCGAAGAAGGAAGACAAGAACAAGAGCTAAAAGAAGACCAAGAACGAAGACCTTAGTCTTAGTGTCGTTGAGTCGGTCTTCATTGTGATCAAGACCGACCCAACCTTTACACCTTGGCTCTTTAGGCTAAAACCCTTCATTGCATTTCTTAAATCATAAAAATGTTTTTCAAACAAGTTTAAATCATCAAAAACACTTGGTGTTCGCCCAAACCAAAAACCAAGTCATCCGGCGTTCGGGTTTCAGAAACCGGCGTTCGGCTCTCGGTTATCGGCTATGGTTTTTGGGGTCCGAACCAACCAAGTGGTTTTCAACTTTTTATGATTGGTTTTCACTCTTTGGCATGTTTAAACGGTTCTCCAACAAAAACACCTTGAAAACCATCTTTCGCTTTTGGTCGTTTGACAAAAATCATTCAAAACGGCATAAACTTGGCTAGCCGTGGTTTTCACTCAAATGAAGTGGTTTTTAAAGTGTCTTACTTGATTTCTTAGCCAAATACATCAAATAAGTGTCTTAAACACTTGGTTTTTATTTTGGAGAACTTTGAATTTTTCGGTCGGGTTTCGCATCCGTTGGCTAGGCCGTGGTTAAGGCAAAAACCATGGGTTCTTGACTAACCACCCACCCAGCGATGGGAAGATCTTCCCATCGATGGGTAAGCGGCCCCTCAGCCAAACTAGTTTCAAGAACCATGCCAAACAGCGATGGGGAGTTCTACCCATCGCTGTTAAAGCCTTGGTGCAAAATTACCACAAGGCAGAACGACCTTGCCCAGCGATGGGAAGCCTATCCCATCGATGGGAACCCAGCGATGGTAAGGGTATACCATTGATGGGAAGGCATGACCGTTGGTGGTCATTAAAGGTTGATTCTTTCCTTGTTTGGAAGTCAACCTCCCACCCAGCGATGGGAAGCTTGTACCCATCGATGGGTAGGTGACCGTTGACTTCAGAACTGAAGAAAAATTAGCTTACCAGCGATGGTTGAATCTAAACATCGATGGGAAGCCAATATTCTGCAGATCCCAAATCTTTTCAATCCCATAAATCAAGCTAATCACCCCTTTAATGCATTGGTACGTTGGAGCCCTCTTTGGCACTATAAAAAGGGGTGTTTGGGTCTGCTTTTCTCACTAATTCACTTCACAACATCTATACTTT